GAGGATAAGTGATACTGCATGCATTCTTCATGTTATGCACTTAATTGCAAGCTGCAACACAAAATTAGGAAAACTTGTATATATTGGCAGTGGATTCCAGTTTGCATATATATTCAGAAAGTATATCAAAATGTGAGCCAAAGAAGCTTCTCTGACTTCATTATCTCTGACTTATAGGGAGAGGGGGAGACTGTGGGATGCTTGCAAGTGCAGAAACACAATCTTAATTTTATTATATGGGGATTGTGTGGTGAAATGTAAAGTTGTAGCTTTGGCCCAAGAAAGGGAGTAAGATATGCATGGCTTCTAGAGTTGCCTTTTCTGCCTGTGGTATAAAATGTACAGATTTTGAAAAATCATCCTTAGAATGGCTATACAAAATAAGTTACATTTTTTTTAACCAACGAGAAATTTAATAGTTGAGCTAAGCTCTAACAAAGGCATTAAGAGTCGTTAACCTAATTTTGCGAAGCTTCTTCTCCGGTAACACTGTATTGCTAACTAGGGCATACAAAACCTTCGCCAGACCAATTCTCTAATACAGCTCGTCCCCCTGGAACCCACACTGTATATCAGACATTAACACAATTGAGCGGGTTCAGAGGTATTTCACGAGAAGAGTACTCTACTCCTCTACTCACAATAGAATTTCCTACGCCACCAAGCTTGAAATTCTGGGCTTGGACAATCTGGAACTACACCGCCTGCAGTCCGATCTGAGCATGGTACATACAATTGTCTGCTACAACGTCTTGCCTTTCAACGACTTCTTCAGCTTCAACCACAATAATACTTGGGCAAATAATCGGTACAAACTCAAGGTAAACCGCTTCAAACCCGATTGCAGAAAATACGACTTCAGCAACAGAATGGCCAATGCCTAGAATGCTCTACCTGACTCAGTTGTTACCTCAAATCCTCACAGCTTCAACCTCAAACTGTCTACCGTGGACCTCACCCCCATTCCTAAGAGGTCCATAAAAGGGGCGTGCATAAGCGCACGAGCGTGACTTCCGACCCTGTCCTACTGTCCCCTTTTATCTGTATTTACTTCCTTTGTTCATGTTTATGTTCATACCTATATTTGTTATCTTGTACATGTTTGACAAACAAACAAAAATATTAACTTGCAGCAAAGAATGGCTCTAATCAGAGTAAAAGCACTGTTGAAAGCAATCAGTTTTCTATGCGTGGGAAAGATGCTACCTTCATTTGCAAACTTCCCTAATTAAACCAAGAGTTTCTTTCAACTACTACAAAAACAATAAAAAAAGTATATGGGTTATCTGCAGAGGTGGGTTGCTGCCAGTTAGGCCTGGATTGGCCAAACTGGTAGCAGCAGCAGCAGCAGCGGGAGGCTCTGCCCACCTACCCAGACGCTTCTGCGCATGTGCAGAAGCGGTGTGCACGCAGGGGAGCGCACCCAAATTGGTAGTAAAAAAATTGGCAACCCAGCTCTGGTTATTTGAAACCCTCCATTGACACTTAAGAATCAGTCTCTCTTCCCCCACCCAATTACAGCAAATCAGCCAGAAAGCAAGATAAGAAATACAACATTCCTGACAGTTTTACGCATGATCTACTGCACAGCATCACTAAAGAGTGACACCTGTCATTAAAATAGTCGAGACAGCTCAAAGAAGTACATCGCTGATTGCATTTTGGATCCCCATTCTGGCTTCCCTAGGAGCAGAATAATGGCTGCCTTCACTGAGAACCCGGGAAGGGAAAAGAGATGGGGTGAGGAGATACAGTAGCTGACAGCAGCTATAGGCATCAGAAGTCCAATCAAACAGGTGAGCTCAAAGAACTGCCATGAAAGGAACCATTATTCATCATTTCTCCCCTCCCAAATTCTCTACCTTTTCCTTGTGGTGATGCAGCAGGGGTTGCACAGGTAAACCCACCAGTGGCTGGCCAGGTTAAGTGGTCTTAATAGAATGGATCTTATAAATTCATATTAGTTTGGCTT